GCCATCCTGCCCCCCCTGGCCTGGGGTGTTCAGTAGTGAAGGGTCCAAGATTTCCTGTGCACCAGCAGCAAAGGGCACTTGGGATCACCCTCTTAGCCAAATGAGCTCAGCTGTGCAGGAGGAGGATGATGAGGGGACACGTCCCCATGGAGGGGAACACACGACCAGGGCAGCCCAACTGCAGGCACATGGCCAAGGGTGATGCTCCAAAAGCATCAGCCGAGGTGGTTTCAGCCACAATCTCATCTCACAACCAGCTCTGCAGGGGCAGAGGGCAAACATGTCCTCACACAGCACCTGGGAACTGGATCTTGCACCCCAAAGCAAAGGGGATGGTGCTCAACAGCACCCTGAGAACCTGCAGGAGACAGCAGAGCTCCTGGCAGACAGGACAAATGGCTTCAAGGAATAGCCTTGGAAATGTGCTCCCTCGGTACATGGCACCAGCAGCCTGGGGACACACACAGCCAGACACGTAACACACCAGACACAGGGAGAGCAGCTCAGGACAAACCAACCAATTTCCTTGCCACCATCACCCGTGGTGGCCAAACACTAAAAACAAGACAGATTTGGTCTTAAAATTTAACACAAAGGAACAACAAAAAAGCATTTCTGCCACACCCAGGGCTCGCAGCCCCAACGTGAACCAAGAACAACCTAACAGCACAAGTTTCAGGAGGATTTTTCCCTGTTACAGCTTAGTACCTTGCTCTTAACTCAAGCTGAAAACGAACAAAGTTCCACCCTCAGCACCACAGCACTGTCACAAGCCAGGGCTCGGTACTGTAAAGTTGTCACTATGGTTTAGGGGGGTTGTGGTGCAGTGAAACTTATCCCTCACTGATTTATGTAGGAATCCCATTACTCGCAGAGGAGCAGGGCTACAACAAAGCTCGAGTGGCCACTGCCTTGCAGGAAGAGCTCTCTGTGTCATCCCCCCACATTAGGACCACTATGGCTTTCTCCCAGTCAAGCAGCAGAGAGCCAAGCCAGAGGTGTGTCCCCAGGGGCACAGAGGCTCTTGGAAGCTCTGGCAGGGGCCACAGACATTCAGGGCTCCCCAGGATTGTTTGGGATGGCTCTAAAAGGCTGTGAGAAGGAGCAGCAGCTCCTCACCTGCCAGCAAATGCATTAGGCACAAAGCACAGTGAGGGCAGAGGGTTTCTCCAGCACATTAAGGCACTTCAGCATCAATCCATTTCCTCTACAGTCTGAATCACACTCAGCTCCCAGTGCTGTTTTGGGGGGGGACA